ATGCAGGTGTGCTTGTATAATAAAGAGCATCCAGGAAAGGCTTCTTTGAGAGCAAGGATGAGTTGAGGATGGTCGCCACTTTGCTAAAAATGCATCAGCACAAAATCAAACAGTTTAAAAATAACATTCTTTGCAAATGATTGCAAGGATTCACCCTCTACATTGCAAAATATCATCATCTGAGTCAGGGAATCCAGATAAATCTCTGTGTGTAAAAGAAAAGGCTAAAAAACACAAATGAATGCCCAGCACTGCATTAACATGCATTTATGATTGATATCATCATGTGGGCTTGGGAACACTTTGACAAACTGTGGTGAATAAACACCATCCTTCACTGTGTCCACAAATGTAAGTTAAGACTGTATTATGCCCAGTAGGAGGCCTTTGTCAACAACGTCTAGAAATGCTGCCACCTTCTCTGGGCTGGAGCTCACATAGTTGCACAGTTTAAACCGGTATTGTGGTCTGATAAGTCCACCTTTCAGATTATTTATGGAAAAAATGGACATTGTGTTCTTTGGGCCAAAGATGAAAAGGAACATTTAGATTGTTACCAGCGCACAGTTCAAAAGCCAGGTTCTATCATGGTATGAGGTGTACTAGTGGGTAACCTGAACATCTGTGGAATCACATATTGAACACATTTTGGAGCAACATATGCCGCCTTCTAGACGCTGTCTTTTTTAGGGACACTCATGCTTATTTCAACATCTCAGCGCCTTAAATTACTTTTTGTATGAGCATCTGAAATTAATTAGGGTGACAATTTTGCAAAAATAGAGGAAATTAGGAGGGGGCAGATACCTTGTTTATGGCACTGTAGGTACATATGAACATACATATATATTTACATACATACAAGCATATATACATACACACACTCACACTTTATTTCCAAAAGCATCTAGTAGGGATGCACAATAAAATCGGAATCATATTGCTATCTGCAGATGATTGCTTAAAATAAAATTAACAGCATTGGACAGATATTTAAATTTGACCAATTTTGCAAAGTTATATTTGATTATGTATTTATTGTACTCCAGAAGAGCAAAATGTTTAGGTAACACATAGCTACTGTGCAAAAAAAGATTGATTTTATTCATTTTACTGTATTGGGAACCCTCTACAAGTTGTTGTTATATATCTCTTGAATACTGATTGAGGTAGATGTCATTACAATTTCTATATATTTTTTACATGTTTATGTATCAGCATCAGATTTAGCATTGACAGACATATACATGGGCCTACAGTTGACATGTTGTTGCTTCCCTAGTATCCAGACAGGTCACCATTCTCAAAGGCTAAAACGGTATAAAGCCCCCTGTTTTGAGCTGTATAGTGGTGGAATTGTGTCCTCTAGGGTGTTAAAACTCATCCAACACATTTGGCATGAGTGTGAGTGGTGTTTGTAATCCAAAACTAATCATCCAGCATCAGTATCTGACCTCACTAATGCTCTTGTGGTTGAAGGCAATCAAATCCTCACAGCAATGTTTTAACAACTAATGTAAAGCTTTCACAGAAGAGCAGAGGTTGTTACTGCAGCAAAAAGGGGACAAACTCTGATTTCAGACAAAATGTTGGATGATCAAGTGTCTACTAACTTTGGGACTCATAGTGTACATCAGGGGTCATTCTTGGAAGGCATCAAATTCTGCTGGACACCAGCCCTCCAGGACCGCAACTGAAAATTGGTGTACATACTTTTGGCTAGTCCATCTTCTATTTGGTGTTTCTAGTAACTGGGCACATTTTCCTTGACAAAAATAGCTTAAAATGAAAACTGTTTTTTTTAGCATTTACGCCACAGAATGGAAGACATGTTGCACAGCCTGTCACTGGCCACAAGGGGGAGCTCAAAGCTTCCTGTCAAAATGTCCTTCCTCAATGAGGGCAACCACTCATTCCCTTTGCATGAAACCTATTTTTTTGCCCCATGTGTCTCCATGCCACAGTACTGTGGTGATTTGCATGATCTGGAGCCAGTCCATGGCCTTAAACTCCTTTAAGATCAACTTTGCATCTCATTTCCATTTTTTGCACTGGAAAATCTTTCCATTGTTCATACGACACCAGTGTCCTTTTCTGCATGTCCCTATCATGGTTAGATAAGACCTGTCTAAACCCTCCAAACATCCAGATCATGTTTGTAAGAGCCCTGTTTGTGTTTGACAAGCTAATGGCTCTTCCAGTCTTGATGAACAACAGCAAATTCAGATCATGGCACAGTAGTTGAGGCCAGCGTCGTTGTATTTCCCTTACAACACGCAGGCCATCCTGCATTCTTCGGTTAGCTTGTTATGCTATTTCCAAACAAACTCCCTGCCAAAACTGGTCATGGCAGATGCACATGACATCAAAGGCCATGTGCACAAACCTGTAGACTAAACATCACTTGAAGCTAACACTGAAATCAGTCCTATTAAGCTAATGCTGAAATCATGAAGCACTTCTATATGAACTGATCTACAATCAAACAAGGAAAAATAAAAGCCACAGTGGTAACCTGAGAGACTGAGGGGTCATCATGTGGCCAGCCAGTCAGCTTTGTTGTGAGAGAAAACAGGCTGTTTACGGTTAGGCACAATAAAGAACCACCTATGGATCAAAGAAAATGTAAGCACACATTCTCAAAAATAGTTCCCAACAAAACCTTTCGATGAAGGGTTCTTTAAAGAACCTTTTTTGTTAATGGGCTGTTTGAACCTCCACATTCTCCCTCAATTTGAAGAACCATTTCATGATGCAAAGAACCCTTAAGTCATGGAAAGGGTTTCTCTGAGTGTTTATGGTTCTTTATAGAACCATTTTCTTTACTAAAGAACTCTTGAAGAACCATCTTTTTTAAGAGTGTAATTTGGAGATAGATTTTTAAATTTCATTCATGGTAAAATCATAATTCTGATTTACTTATTACTTTACTGCTATCAACATCACATAAAAAAGCTCAGAAGACATGAGTAGGTTTACTTGTTGTTTTGGTTAGTAGTAAAATGGCTATATTTGTGCTGCAGACATTACAACCCTTGGTTCCTATCACCACCACTATCGGTACATTTCTCTACAATGACCCATTTCATATCAAACCATTCTGAATGACTTGTTTACAGGTCAACAATTGAATTATGCAACAAAATTAAAAATCAGTCAAATCCCCTATAAAGATTTTTCCTAGAACAGTACGAAAAAAAAAACATTTAGGAACTTTTATTTTGTGTTCAGCTATTCAGACGTTTGTTGAGAATTATGTTTCCTTCTCATTAAAACATCTCCTATGAACCAATGCGCTAGTTAACAGTATGACCTCTCTCAGCTAATGTCCCATCATGGCCAAATCTTTTATAACTTAAATCTGTCCCACATTAAGCTCTAAACCCCTTTGTTTTCTCTTTTTTTTTACTTCATACATTTAGACACATCAAAATCAACTGCATCGGTTTCACTGGGACCATATGATGTGGTTCACATCAAAATGTTAAATATGATCAAAGGACGATCTATGGCATAAAACAAGTGTAAACAGGCCTTTTCTCTCCTGGGTCAGGTGAATCCACAGGTTTCAGCCTCTCCAACCAAAAGGCAACTCAACTGTGTGCGCAGCTATGCAAAATTAGCTCCACATTTGCATAACATCTGCTGTATTTGCAACCTGCCCGTTTTTTATTAGAGGTAAACGTGGCCGAACCTGCTGTCCCCGCCACAGACGTCCTCCTGTTTCCTTTCAGCAAGGTGCAGCCTGAGTTAAGAATGCCTTCCAGCACTACTGAGCTTTGAGTAAACAAACATGTTGTTTGTTTGTGTAAGTACCTGACACCCTTCAGTGGCATGAAACACTTACTGAGAAGGAAAACGATTCGTATGAAATCTTTGTGAAAACAGTGTTGAAACTATCCCACAGAACTGTACAGTGTTCCACGTTTTTTTCTATTGAAACCAAATTGTCAGTGGTCAAAACATTCATTTAATCCCTCCCTGAAACTGGCAGTCTGTATCAGATTTATCACATGCGTCCACTGTGAAATTATCTTCAATGACAAATTTCAATGTGTCATTAAATTGGACCATATTGTTTTCATTCAAACTGCTCCATCATTGTTATCAGTACCTACAAGAATTAAAACATAAAGTTTCATTTTCACTGATGCCCTTTGCCTGCTTTAACACATCGAATTAGACTGACATGAGGTGGGTAAGGGAAAACCAGTGTCCTGAACTGGGTTTGAGAACCACTGGACTAGTTGGTCTCCTTAAATGACCTGCTGACTGTTTATACAGTTAACAGTCTAAGTTAACCTTTAACTGTGAAACAACAACAACAACAGCACTGCTCTTAATAATAATAATAATAATAATAATAATAATAATGATGATAATGATAATAATAATTCTGTTGTAATAAATCTGTTGCTGTTTGTTACTAGAATACTGATATTAATAATATTATAACAGCTATGAAGTAAAGTGACATACTATATTATTATAAAAAATCTATATTATAAAGTAGAACATACATTTAAGAGTAAGAAAATAATAATAATGCAAACTATAATAATGAGAAACAAGTATTCTTATTCCTATATTTATATCTGTATAATATTTTAGATTTTTATTTATTTATTCTATCTAGGTTATAATAATCTGCAATAATTATTGTTAATTTTACTTTGTATTATTTTTATAATTGTTCTATATATTTTAAAACTATTTATTTGTTTGTTTGTTTATTTATTTACAAAGGCTCTCATTCTTATGTTGGGCAGTGCGAGGAGCATCATCAAGGTCATGGGATTTTTAGAAAAAAACAAAACTGTCAACCAACCAGCTCCATGTTGGCCAATGCTGTGTGAACACACACACACACGCACACACGGTTAGTTCACCTGTCTCTGCGCTCATGGCTGAGCTGTGCGGCCTGGGGCGGACACGGCGGCGCGAGCAGTGCGGCTACTTCCTCTAACCACAGCGAGCAGTGCTGAGTTAAAGCCACCCATCCACCCACAGCATTGCACACACACACACACACACACGCTCACACACACACAGCGAACAGCGAGGGGGGAAGAGGAGCCACCGCCGAGCCGTAACGGCCCGATCCACTGCACTGCCAGCCCTGCTCCACTTCCTGCTGCCTGCAGTCTCTTCTTCTCTCTGTGATGATGCACACATTCACAGGGATTCACTGAGACTGTCTCTTCAGCTTCTGTTTGCGAAGGGGTTAAAACGAAACCTTTTTTTTCTCTCTCGTGGCGACGGATAAGTGGCGCACGGATTTTTTTTTCGCTCTCGTTTTTTGCTCGCCTCCACATCTTTGCAGTAAGAAGAATTCCGGCACCTTTTTTAAAATCGTGTTTGCGAGAAGAGAAGAAGAGCTAGGCGGAAAATGGGCTGTTTGGGCAACAGCAAGACCGAAGACCAGCGCATCGACGAGAAGGCTCAGCGAGAGGCGAACAAAAAGATAGAGAAGCAGCTCCAGAAGGAGAGGCAGGCGTACAAAGCCACGCACCGGCTGCTGTTATTAGGTAAGCCCGACAGAGATGGACGTACTGGCGGATTATAGCCACATCCAGCTCGGGCGTGTTTTTCTTTTCCTCCAGCTCGCCTCCCGTCCACATCACGCCTTTGACAGGTCAGGATATTATGTATGGCCAGTGTACGGATGGGACGGACGGTCGACATGGAATTTTGTGGCTCGCAGAGACAGTGCTGGGCCATTAGTAGCTGCCCTACATTACACTAACACTATTTTCTTCTTTCTGTATTTGTTTTCATGTGAAGGCGCTGGAGAATCCGGAAAGAGCACCATTGTCAAGCAGATGAGGATCTTGCACGTCAATGGCTTTAACGCAGAGTGAGTCTGTGGTTATTTTTACATCATTTTGTTCAAAATATGAATACTTTAGACCCTCGTCTGCCTATTCTTAGCAAGCTTGGACTGTAGTTTGTCGCATTTCGTATTTCTGCCATTTGGTCCGATTTTATTTTAGCGTAGAAGGCCCACGGATAGGGCCAGCATGGCGACAAGCTTGCTCTGTCCAGCTGATTTCTAATAGCTGTCAGCGAGATAAAGCCGTCATGTTGAAAGATATGGGTATGTAGGTAGGTTAGTTAGATTCAGAGATTCCCGCTGCAGCTAGCTATCTGGTCCAGTAACATTAGTGAAGCTATTCAGGTGTGTGGTGAAACGACTAGTGTTTGTTCTGGCAAGTGGCATATGAAGCACATTTTGCAGTTGATTCGGCTAACTGTGTTCAGTATCACACAGCTAGGTTTGTGTATATAGCCTTTTGCAGTTGTTTCAGCTGACTGTTCAGTACCACCCAGCTAGGTTTGAATGTATACAGTGTTAGCCATTTGCAGTTGTTTAAGCTGACTGTGTTCAATACCACACAGCTAGGTTTGTGTATATAGCCTTTTGCAGTTGTTTTAGCTAACTGTGCTCAGTACTACGCAGCTAGGTTTATGTACACAGTGTTAGCCTTTTGCAGTTGTTTCAGCTGACTGTGTTCAGTACTACACAGCTAAGTTTGTGTATGTAATCTTTTGCAGTTGTTTCAGCTAACTGTGTTTAGTACCACACAGCTAGGTTTGTGAATATGGTCTTTTGCAGTTGTTTCAGCTGACTGTGTTCAGTACCACACAGCTAGGTTTGTGAATATGGTCTTTTGCAGTTGTTTCAGCCAACTGTGTTCTGTACCACATAGCTAGGTTTGTGTATATTGCCTTTTGCAGTTGTTCCAGCTGTGTTCACTACCACACAGCTGGGTTCCACAGTTATTTCGTCTAACTGTGCTCAGTACCACACAGCTAGGTTTGCATATATAGCATTTTGCAGTTGTTTCATCTGTATTCAGTGCAACACATTTAGGTAGGTTTGTGGACAGAGCCTTTTGGGTAAATAGCCCATGTAACTTTCACTGAGAACAGTTCCATAGCAGTTAATGCTTAGTTGGATTATTGCAGGCCTAATAGTTACAGACTGACCTCATTCAGATACTTGGTAGAGTACTGGTGGGCCTACATGCAGTTTGATTATATCACATGTTCTCTTGGGCCTACTTTTACTATGTGAAACTAGAATTTTATTGAATGCCTAATTATGATGATTTTCAATGCTGTTACATGTGTTATATGACTCATTCATTCATTCATCCATTTATGTGTTCATTAGTCATTTGTTCATTCATTCACTTTTTTCCCTCCTCTACTCAGAGAAAAAAAGCAGAAAATCTTGGATATCCGAAAAAATGTGAAGGACGCCATTGTGGTAAGTTTCTTTTGTTGAAATTAAAACTTACCAAATTAAAAAAGTAATGTTTATATTTTTGCACCCAACACGGCTGTTGTATCCAGCAATCCCATTTGGATGATTAGTGGGGCTTAGCCTGCGATTTATCCCACTTTTATCCTGCTTAGCGCTGTGTGTTTGTTTCATCCGCTTTCTAGACGATAGTATCGGCTATGAGCACCTTAATACCCCCAGTGCCACTCGGCAACCCGGCCAACCAGTTCCGAGTCGACTACATAAAGAGTATAGCCCCGCTCTCAGACTTCGACTACACAGAGGTAAGGCGTCTCTGATCTCTCAGACTGATAGCAGTCAGCATTTCTGTTCCCGGCTTGTGGCCGGTATGGTGGAAAACTGACAGAGTTCTTACTGTAACTTCTGACTACTGGTGTTGTAGTGGGCAGAAAATTGCACACTGTGGCAGCTCACGTTCTGTTGGGACTACTAAATGGAACAAAAACAATTAGCAATTTTGGAAAATGAGTTTATTGTGTTGCAGAATGTGTACTGTATATGATGGTTGATAATTTTGTGTGACCTTATGGAAGAGTTGTGAAACGTAACTGCTGGCTTACAAATGTGTCACAACAGGTAATCATCTCTGATGTGTAGAGTTCAAGCAAAACATTGTAAAAATGAAAAGGAGAGGAAAGACACACCCATAAATCATGCGTTTATTTCAGGAATGAATCCTAAAGATTGTGATTCACGGGTGACAGTTTGGTTCCACACTTTTATCATCCTATGCTAGTGTCTTTGTGCTTAGCTAGCTGATTGTTAAGGGAGCTATGAATATCTAATTAAACAACGCATCTTTTCTGCATGTACAATCGTCAGGTGCATCTATCATGTCTTGCATTTAGCCTCACTGGCTGGGGGCAGATTCCAAGGCGCTAATGCCATGTCTTTGGCTTTGTATTCAGGTGTAGAAAGTAAGACCAGGTGAAACTCTAGCTATGCCACCAGCAGGCTTGGGCGATTTGTTTGCAGGGCAGGACAGAGCATGCTTAGCCTGTATATCTTACTGTCTATCTGTATGATCTCACGCTGTGGAGCTTCAGTACACTATGGAGATTCCATACCCCAATGTTTTTGATTAGCTGAATGACTATTTTGTTGAGCTTTCTAATTTTGTGCATCTCTCACTGTCCTATGATGTACGTAGAGTGTGAATTCGCTTTTGTTGGTTCCATTTAGGGCCCGACTGTTGTGTCATTTGGCCAATATTCTTGTCGATTTATCAGTATTGAAGGACCAATAATTAGTATCTTGTTTTGTATCCTGACAAACCAACCTCTGGTGTGAGGAAAACCATTTACAGGCACTTGTAAGTTAACAGTCACCACTTGCGCAGTTACAGCAAAACAGTCAGGAACTGGTGAATTTAAGAAAAAAGCTATCATTAAAACAAAACAAAAATATGTCAAATGTACCAAACACTGTCTATACTGAGAACTAATGAGTAAAATAATAGGTAGTTCAAAGGACCAACAAAACCACCAAGAATTCTGGGAAGCCCCCGGTGCTACAGTTGAATTTTCCATGATATTGCTCCTTTATATAATATTTAGTAGAATTTTTTAGTAATATTAACGTAAATAAAGGCATAAAACTGAATTTCCTTTTTTTTTTAAAAGAGACTGATATAGTGTGTAACCATTGTCTCACAGTGTACTGTTCATTGCTTTGTCCATACAGTATAAAACTAAGCAACAAAACTGGCTTATTTTGAGTTCACTGTTTTTTTATGATGTCACAAAGGGCCTATATTAACACTATTTAGGGGCCTGAATCACAAAAATCAGTTTTTGCACCTATATAAAATAAAAAAAAATGTAATGTCATAAGGGCCCATTTCATATAGAATTGAATTTCCTTGCTTTTTTGAAATAAAAGAGATTGGTGTAGTATGTAAACATTGTCTCGATGTATACTGTTCACTCCCAAGTATACTCTGGCAGTCGAAATGTAAAACTAAGCTGCAAAAAATGAAAGATTTTGAATTTACTGTTTTCTGTGCTGTCACAGAAGGCCCTATATAAAATATATGTTTTGGGGCTTATACATAAAAAAACCTGATTTAGGGTCTATATTAAAAATCGTGTAAAAATATCCTTATTCATGTAAAAATCAGTTTTTGTGCTGTCACAAAAAGCCCTATGTCATTTAAAACAAAAAATGAGTTTTAAAATGAGTTTGATGTAGCTTGTAAACATTGTTTTAAAGTGTACTGTTCACTCCCCAGTTCATACAGTCCATATACAGTACGAAGCTGCATGAACCATTTTGAAAACCAACACATATTCATATATCCCACTATTCAGTCTACGGTTATAAGGAGTGTTTTAGCCTGAACTGCTGTTTGAATGAGGCGCGATACAGAGCAGTCAATCAGAACGAAGCTCATTTCCATATGTCAGGCACAGTAACAAAAATGGTATCTGTCACAAAATATGCATATTGGTTGGATCCTATTGGATAGGATGCTGGTTTTGTTGCTTTCAGTATTTCAGTATTTTCCACATCCCAGCAGTGAACCAGAAACCACATCTGAACGTCATTCTGTTTAGGACTGTCTCATTGTCTTAATGTCTTAATTTGATGTCTCTGTACGTGACGTACAGCAGCCTGTGAGTCTGAGCACTAGCCAAGCTGAGCTAGGAGGAACTTACGCAACTTGTAGTAATTTGGCATTTGGATGTTTGAATGAATGGCACCCATTTTGTTGTTTGACGGTTTGATCCAGTTAAGGTTCGATAGGGCAGATACAGCAAGACAACGCCGGAGCTGTTGCTTATGGGACGTTACGAAAGATTTCCAAACAGTTGCTCCTTTTGGAGCTAAAATAGTTTGTATTTGGTAACTGCTGCTCCAGGGTAGATGTTCTGGATGAGGGTGGAGAGTCATTGTGTGTGCGCATGTGTATGCTGTTATCTAATTAAAAACCCTTTCAATTGAGTCTTAGAAAGAAGTGGGGATGTCATGAGTTTTATATGGCTCATTCGAATGTCAAAAGCCGATATAAAAAGGTCTCTCTTTCTCTCTCTCTCTCGTACACACACATAGGCCTATATCTCCCACTGTCTTTCTTCTTCCTCTCTCTCTCTCTTTCACTTTCATCCTGGCCTTCCCTTATTTCCCCTGTCGTTCTAACTTGTAAGTTTATAAACTAAGAGGTAAATAAATAAAATAAGTGAACACAACCTCTACAGAGAACAAACCTTTGCACATTTTAATACACGATTACTGTTATTCTTCTAAGTTTTCCATAATGGGAGGTGTAGCCTGAGCTAACGTTATGATGTTATGACACATTTTTTATTTTAGTTTTTTTCCAGTATGTTAAACTAAACAAATAAATAGTGTGCACTTACATTTGCAGAAAAATGCCATATTTCAGTTCCCTGTAGAGGGTGTGTTTACTAATTTTTACTTAGAAAATCAAAACAAGTTATTTGACCAAGAGTTTTCAAACTTTTGCATACAACTGTAGTTATGTTTCAAAGAATAATCCGAATGTTAGACACAGGTTATTGCTCTGGTAAGTTATTATTGTGGTTCAGGGAACTAAAAAATTAGAGGCAGCCAGATTACTTTTTACGTTAAAACAACAAATCTTCTTGTTCAGTATGAAGTGCTTTGGCATCATAGCAGATTCTCTGTATTCGATCTGGGTTTGGACAGTGGTGAGGGCAGTAACATAATCTTAGCTTCACGCAAAACATCAGGCTAATCCTAAACGTAACCCTAATGCTGTTGGTAGTTAGAGTATCTTGAGAGATTTATTGAACCCTTAGAAGTCAGTGTTAGTGGGGGCATGGTCAGTATTAATTATTTCTCAGTATTTCTCCGTTATTTTCTCATGACTCATTGCAGCAAGCTGAAACATTCTGTCTTAAGTGTTGATTTAAAACTTTCAATCAATACCACAGTTGTGTTTCTAACTTGTGAGTTTATAAACTAAGGGGAGAAAAGTAGGAAGTGCGACTTAAACCAAAACATATAGCATATAAATCGAATATAATTCGTCTAATTAATTATGTAATTATATAATTACAAACAACAGTAATAACTAGCAACTTCTAAGGGTTAAGGACGCACATTGATGACAATTTTTCATGTATTCTTTTGGCTGTTTCCCATCTGGGTAACCCTGTTTAATACAAATGAGTTTTTTGGAAACCTGTTTAAAAAATCCAATCAGCGTTCAAAATACTTATTCAAACTCAAACGTATGTAGTTTTGGGCTATATTTATTGTCTGTTTCACTGCAGTGCTCATCTTGTACCTTGTGTACACAGTACATTTGTTGTGAAATGTCTAAAAGTTATGTACAGATGATCTGCATCCTTTAGGTCAAAAATGAAACAAATAGAAGTATGTATTGTAATTCTGCACTGATATTGAATAAAGCTACAGCATTTCTTTCAAAGTGTTTTCCATATATGCAATACTGTAAACATCAGTATTAGGCCTGGATACTTCAGGATTAGGCCTGGATATCTTTTTTTTTAATACTGATACCTCGATGTGCTTAATTTTTAATACCTTCAGTTGCAAAAAAATATCGAATTAATAGTCATGTAATCAGTGTATATTGGCTTACAGATGCTGATATAACTAGGTCAGTACCATAAAGTATTGAATTTGCTGTTATATGTAATATAATATTGTTTTCATCCTACCCGATAAGTAAGAATAGTTTGATTCTGATGCCTAAATGCTTTTAGGTTTAATGTTACATGTAATAACAGATATCTTAAAGTCAGTAGAGCTGTGTTCATTATGACTTTCTAACTGTCAAATTCCATTTCTTGTTCTGTGTGTGTGTTTGTGTGTGTGTGTGTGTTTACATGACTGGTGATACTGTACACTGTCTATCAAAACATGGGCAGTGGAAGTGAGATGTTTTTAGCCGTGGCTGTAGCTCCATTAATTAGGTCTATTATGTAATGGCGTATTGATTTTTGTTGGTCAACATGTTAGCTGAGGGCTTGGCAGTGGACAGAGAGAGGACCAGCACCAAGAATCCTGCTCTGATGTGCCTGATTTGAGTCTCTCAGTAGACCAGACATGCATTAAAATTGATCACTCTTTTAAAAATAAAATTATTATAACTAATGCACTGAAAAAATGTTGTTTTTACCTGATTCAAATGTGTTCACTGGTTTCACATGAACGACGTATTACGTCAAGACCATTACTGTCGTTCATTTTACTTAATTCACCAAGAATTGTATTGATGTAATGTACTTTATTCATGTGGAACTGATGTACA